TTTCTCTAGCAACTGCCTATTTGGGTGGTTACGGAGTGAATATACTTCTGCGGTCTTTCCGAAGGCTGCTATTCTTCATGAGGAGCAGTGGCACCGGGGGGTACCGCCGCAGAAGGGCCTGCGTTAGCTGTGTCCCAGAGGCTCAGCACACTCACACACGGAGGTGTATTGATCCGTGCAGGATAAACACGGTTTCGTTATCTCATTCATGGAAACAGTAACCAGGTTTCCCCGAAAGGGCTGCAAAGGGGCAGGCTGAGGGTGAGCAGCGGGGGGAAGAGAACAGGGTCCGGCCGCAAATACCACCTTTCCTCCTCTCAACCAAAGTCCTGGCGTGGGAGGCGTCCCCTGAATGGGGAAACCAATCCCCCCCTTTCCAAGCAAATAACCCAGAAGTGAGGCAAAATCCGCATTTTTGGGGGGAAAAAGCTTCTGTGTGCCTCGCGCTCCTGGCTGGCTGGAGCAAAGGCACAGGACCTGCCTGCAGTAGCTGGCAAGGAACCACGTGCAGAAGTAGTCACGGAGAGGTGAAGCACTATTATAGTGCTTGCTTCGCGTTGATGTGGGGTTTGTTAGGCACAGAAGTGCCTTTCCTTGCCTTGGCGTTTTAGAGCTTTAATAGAAGCCTAAAATAAATGAGAGAGTTCAATAGGGAGAGGCAAATCAAACGAGGCAGTGCTCTGATTTAACACAAAAGCAGCGCCTTCCTTTTCTAATGGTGCAGGGTTCTTGGGTCTGCGACCACGATAAATTGGTGGTATTGTTAAAAATTTGGTCAAAAACGAGGATGAAATGGGAAACACACCTGGACAGTTTGCACCTCTGAAGGCCCTAATCTCAATATAAACTGAATAAAATGCAACCTCCCCCCCCTTTTATTTCCTTTTCTCTTTAGCACAGTGGCCATGACTAACAGCAGGCCAGCTAGGGGACAAACCCCTGAAAATGAATTCCAGAACAGTTACTTCTATGAAGTGTCATTGTTTGGTTTTTTTTTTTTTTTACATAGTGCTAAAAAAAACGCCTTAATTTGCTGCAGTCACACACACTTCCCAACAGCAGCCATGGAAGGGGAGATTTCCCCCGGTGGGGGTGGATTTGCTAATTGATTAATGGCCCAGGGAACAAAGAAGGAGGGAAAGTCATCAGGTTTCCCCGGGCCCCGTGGCAGCCGCTCGCCTCCCTTACCCTTAATGGCAAAAAAACCCCAGCCCAGCACACCGGCACTGCTGCACGGACTGAGGCGGAGTAGGGGGAAATGCTGAAATCCCACTGGTTTCAGAACTAAAACATCCCCCTGTGACTTGCATCCTGGAAATAGTCTGGATGCTCTGGTGGATATGGACCCCTGGGTGTCGGAGGTGGGAAAGCGCCCTGTCCAAAAAGGTGTTTAGATGTCCTGGGGCCAAGGGAGGTAGGGGAAAAGTGGGGAGGGAAGAGGTGCTTGGAAAAGTGGAGGCTGGGAAGCCTGTTTTGCTGTGCTTGGGATTTGTTGTCTTGAGATTTATACCTTAAGAGAGGTACGTTTTCCATTTCCATCCCATGGAAATCCAGCTGATGGGGAAAAGCTCTCTAGCGACAAGGCTTATAAATGAGTTGTGAATGACTTTGGGCTGGTAATTACTAGGAGGGACCTAATTTCTGAGAGTGGTGCTACAAAACCGAATTCCGGTGTGTATCCAAGCCACACAGCGTTCTCCAGCCCTGGCCTCTGATGCTCCTCCTGACCCAGGAGTGGACACTTGCAGAGTAAGTGAGGCTGGAGGTACCCTGGGGTGGGGGTCTCTGGCCAGACCCCGCTTCCCACAGGACCAGCGCAGGCTGCTGAGGGCCGTGGTCCAGACAAGCTGGGGCATCCCCGGGGCTGGGGATCCTCCACTGCTGGCACAGGGTAGGGCTGCTTCCTTGGGGCCAGCCAGGCTTTCTTTGAAGGCGGCAGTGTGTGGAAGCTCTGGGCGCAGATCAAGGCCGGATCATCATTAACACCCCCCCCAGAGCACGGGGGCTGTTTTTTCTAACACTTTCAAAAAGCGTGTGGAGGTCTCCAACGCCAGATTTCACAGCGGCTGTGATTCATACCTTGTACAACCTTGGATGCTCCTGCTCCCTTAGTCCTAGCGGATCGCTTGAGCATATCCTGGAGTACACCAGTGTCTAGACGTGCTGGTCTAGAGCCTAAAAAATGTGCAGGATGCCTTACGAGAAGAGCCCAGAAGCGCTCGCCTGGTCTTATCTAATCAGGCAGAAGCCGAAGAGGGATATTGCTCCTGTTGTACACGCACCAGCTGGGAAGATGCTCAATTCCCGGCCATCACCCAGCCCTGCGGCTCATGCTCGCTGCTCAGCGCGAAGCCATCCCCCGGAGTGAGATGTTACTGGAAATTCCTCCTCCTGGAGAAGAGGTACCGAGACACGCAGCATTTAAAGCTCTGCATGCAAATGCATTCAAAGCAGCAGCCCCTGAGACACCCGCCCCGTAGGGAAGCGCAGCGTGAAATAGTGCCATTCGCAGGGAGGGGGAGGAAAAAAAAGGCTCTTGCCCTACTCATCTATCTCGGTCGCGGCTGGTCCTGCGCTCCGACAGCGGGCAGCCCCCGCCGGGAAGGGGGGGGGCTGTGGCACCCATACACCTGACCCAGCTGGAAATAATGATGAACCCCCAGGCAGTGGGTGTTAGAGGTATCTGTGTAGTGCAGCCATCCCTTTTCATCCCCACCTCTATCCCAGCCTCCGTGTACACGAGGATGGGTCCAAGTCCGGACAGAGGGGCTAACAGAGGCCCGTGAGCACCCTGCAGATTGGCACCGAACACTGCAGTTTGATCGCTCCAACCCCTGATGAAACCAGGAGGCAGCAAAAGCAAAATACAAGGGGCCAAATTCACGGCATGCCAGAGCTTTCCTCTACAGGATGCATATAAGGCATCTCTGCCCAGGCAGGGGAGGATGCAAAACCAATTTGGGTTTTAATTGGGTTTTTCAGAATGACCCCTTTTTCCTTCTTAAGCAGCCTGGGAAAGCGTCTGACTCAGTTTTGCACTAATCCTGCGCCGTGCTGTGCTGAACCCCAGCTCCACAGGAGATGGCAGGCACAGGAACCACAAGCATCGATGGGGTTTTGCTGCTGCCCTCAGCAAGGGCAAAACAAAACAAGAATCGGGCTTCGGTTGCTGCAGAAAGCGCTCGTTGTGGAATCAGAGCCGGGAGGGAGATGCATTGGACAGCCCACCTCCCGGCCCCTGCACCCTGGTAGTAATTAAAACACCAGAGAACCTGGGAGCACGGAAAAAAACCAGATAACTCAGAAGGGTCTCGCAAACCCCAGCAATAAATGGCTCCAAAATCTGGCATCACAGAGATGTCCCTATTTCCAAGTGTTAAAGTCGCGGCCTCCATGCGGCAGAGCCCGAGCGACACACGGCTGAGATCCTCCAAACGCCTGGGCTCGTGCTCCATTTCTGGCACCGAGAATAAGCCATCCATTTAAATTTAAAGCATCTGTTTAAGTCTTCCAGGATACAAAGATATAGGAGTACAGAGCACATAATGTTTAAAGCCTCAAGCCTTAGCTCTTCCCTCAAAGAGCCCCAAAAGCAGCACGTGCTAATAAAAGATGTTGGTGTTAAACAGCCGGTATTGGCAAAGGCTTTTTCTGTTATGTCCATGGCATGGTGGCACGCTCAGAAAATCTGCCGGAGCTGCCTATGTTGCACCTCTTTACCTGCATTTCTTTACCTGCAAAGCTCATGCTACGTGCACCAAGAGACCTGCTGTAGAGGGGGATCATTTAGGGTCCTTTCCCCAGAATTTGGCATTAGCTCAGGGCGCAGCCACAGCAATCCACCCTCCTTCCACATTTCTGCCTCCCTGCTCTGCTCTTCCAGATTTCTCCTCTCTGCTGCCCAGCATCCCCACCACCATCCCATCCCCTTCCCCGTCCCTGGGCCATGGAGGGTCCCGGCGTGTCCTGTCCCCATCATCCCCAGTACACCCACCCCAGCCCCGTTTGCTCTCCAAGCAAGCCTGGGAGTTATCATCACCCTTCATGGCCTCCACCTTTGTACAACTGAAAGCAATTTAAAGCGATAACAATCATTTTTGGAAGACACGACCTAGCGATTTCCTACTGCGAAGGTCTTGGTCCTACCAGCCCACAGCACATGCCCCGGTTGCAAGGACCCAGGGAGGCAACTGGTGCCGCTCTTGCCAGTGTTCAGCACCAGCCCGCCGTCAGGAGTCCTCAGGCTCCACGTCGCACCTGCAGACCCTGTTTCTGTGCCTGGCTCGTACAAACGGGGTTTGCACAAGCTCGAAGGAAAGCGTGGAGGAAAACGGGGCAGCCTGAAATTGTAGGTAGCAAGTCCATCTTAGAAATGCCCCTTTGCCAGTGTTCAGGTTCAGATTCCAGCTTTATGGTGTTTTCAGCCCCCCAAAAAGACTTAAAAAGAAAATCTTTAATTAGATACGACCTAAAACTGCACCTCTGAAGCAAAACATCTGAACCCAAGGTTGTTCCGACCCTGAATCTCGATACAGATCTGAAGTTCTCCCGTGTTCCTGATTTTTAAAAATAGGCCAAACCTGGACCTAGGTGCCGGGCCTGGCTTGTGCAAGGTTCTTGCGCAAGGTTCCCTTCCCAGCCCCAGGAGGATGCAATGGCGTGAAGGACTCGTCGTTGTGTACTTGGCAATGTACAATAACAATATTATATGTTACAATATCCCTCTGCGTCCCACTGGAGTGCTGTCCAAAATCTGGCTGGGGGTTAAACACTATTTATTTTCATGCAACATGAGGCAGATATTTTTGATTTTTCCACAGTCTGTAGTGTTTTGTTTTATTTTGATCTCACAACAACTGACTTGGGAAGAGCGATCCTGTTAACTTGCTCATGAGGGTGGACTTTCTCCTCCTATCTGTATTAATTTATTTAATTTATCTTAAATTTGATTGCAGTGAGCACCCCTAATTAACCTGATTTTTTGCTGATAATCACTCACAATGGAATCAAATCACAAATCCGGGGATGGATTGACCGGCACACAGAAAGAAGCCGCCCTCCGTGCGTTAATTCAGCGAACGGGATATAATTTGATCCAGGTAGGAACTCACGGTCACGTCCTTTTGTGCACGGTGTCTGGCTTCATCCTGAAGGGATGCGTTGCATCGGGGGCTTGAGCAGCAAATCTGTATGCATGACATGCTTCTTGCTCGTTCTTCGCCTCTCTGTGTTTCGCTGACGTATGTGCTGTGCCAACTACATGTAATAGCTGCTGTCTTTTATGAAGCAGGGTCTTATTCCTCTAGGAATCCTTTGCCTGATGCCAAATTGCAATAAGGGTGGAAAAAAAACCCTGAGCACCACTAAATGTTGGGAAAGTTTGGGGCTGCTGTCTCAAAGTCATGGCTGCAGCAGTAGCATAGCAAAGGGAATGCACTAAGCAAAGCTTCAGAAGAGCATAGGTCCAGAGCTGGCCATACGAAGGCCAACACATCACCACCAGACCTGCCTTTTGTACCGGCTCGAGCACGCGTGCATGTGAGGCAGGTGCCTCGCCTGCCCAAACACCAAAAGTTTGCTCCCAGTTCAGTCTTCAAGCTCTCCAAGTGCAAAGCCTCCTCTGGCGAGGGTGGGTGGAGACTGGGCACGTCCTTCAGGAGCCACCTGAAGAAGTCTTTCTCGGTTAGCACGATCAGAACAAGTTCGTTTTTCCAAAGCATTGGGCACTACTATGACCGACCTTGCATCCTGGAAGAGGTAACTGAAAACACTGAATTTTGGGCGGGTGTCTGCCTTGAACTTTGCCTTGCTCTGCGTAGCACTAGGGGGCACAACAGCCCAAAGCAAAAACTGAGGCTCCTGGGAAAAAGCAATTTCCTACAGCACTTAATCCTGTGTGCACCCCAGGAGCAGGCCAGCAGCTGGGGTTGCTGCCCTTGAGGGGGCTTTCTGCTGTGCCTGACCCTAAAGGTAAATAACTTCTCTACATCTTGTATTTACTGTGGCTTGCTTTATCCGGGTCCTCAGTTTTTCACACGGTCACATCTGGCTATAGCTCATTCCTAAATCACAGATTTCAACCCCCGGCCCTTCCCCACACCCCAACAGCTTCTTTCTCCCTACCTTTTCCATTCCAAGCTTACTATTTTATCTTTTTTTTCCCCTCCCAATTTCCTTTTCCATCTCTCTTTGGGCTTTTCTTCCAACCGATCTATTGGTGCAGTCAAACACCATCTTCTTCCATGCATGCCAGGGTCACTCATCTTTGTGAGGCGGGGGATGAAGTCCTCCTTCCCCCCAGACACCTTGTCAGGACGCGTTTGCTGAGCTGCTGCCTTCAAGCCACAAACAAAACCACTGCAGACTGAGGGAAGACTTCATTTCTTGCTGTGTCTCCTTGCACACCAGCTCCCACAGATGTTGGCAAAGTGAAAAAAAGAACCGTTTGATCCCCACTCATTTGGCTTCGAGTGCGGCAGCAAGACCCCCCTGCCCGTTTGCAGACCACTATTGACGAGCGCAGCGTCCCCCCGGCTGCCACCCGGCGAGGGCTGCAGGTGACTGCAACGACACCAAACACAGCCACCACTTTATCACTCTTTGTCTTCACCCAACAAATGGCTTGAGCGGCCTGAAAAGCCATGCCAGCAATGTGCTCAGTTCAGCCAAACCGGGTGCAGAAAAATAGCCCGAAACATCACGGTCTAGATTTGCTGTAAGAATTCATTCATAAATTCAGACGTCCCCGTGACTCCAGCACTACACTGAAAACATTTGTGAACAGGAATGAGCGTGGATAATTCAGGGCCCGTTACAGGCTCAGGAAAACTGAGAGCTCGTGGTATAGTCCAGTTTTCCTGCAAGGATCCCTGTTTTCTTATGTGCTTTAGGCCTCCCTCTTCTGTCAGCCCCATGGGCACCCACTTGCCCGGGAGAATCCCTGCGTGGGAGATGGCTACAGAAATTACCAGGGAGCCAAACATAGATGAGTGACAAGAGTCCCAGCTCCTCCGGGAGCAGGGCGTTGCTGCAGGACAGGAGAGGGAGAGGGAAGGACAGAAAGGAAGGAGGTGGAAGAAGGAAAAGGAGAGGAGGGGGGGGAGGGAAAGACAGACAGACAATGAAGGAAAGAACAAAACCAAGAAATACAGGAAAGATGATTAAAAATAGGGTAAGAAAACAGAGACATGCTCACCTCGCAAAAAACATAGCAAAAAGAGGAAATATTGACTGGTCTTCGCATCTTTGAATATCATTCAGGGCCAAGACTTGCTCCCTGCCTAAAGAAACTCCTGGGTAGGCAGGCATCATCTTTTGCTCCTGGCATGGCCTCCCACCATCGATGGCCCTTCTCTGTCCCCCCTGTGGGGCTGCTGCTGTCCCCCTCTCTGCCCAGACCCCCTCCCCTGCTGGGCTCCCTCCAAAACACCCAGCACAGTTAGAGAAAGGGCTTCACCGCTCTGGGGTGCAGGAAGGGGTGGGTGTTGGGGTCCACTATTCTCCACGCCCACCTCCAGGCCCAGGTCCTTACCATGCCTTGTATCTCTTCGCTAAGCCCAGCTGCTGGCACAAACTGCCACCCGGCGAGGGCTGCAGGTGACTGCAACGACACCAAACACAGCCACCACTTTATCACTCTTTGTCTTCACCCAACAAATGGCTTGAGCGGCCTGAAAAGCCATGCCAGCAATGTGCTCAGTTCAGCCAAACCGGGTGCAGAAAAATAGCCCGAAACATCACGGTCTAGATTTGCTGTAAGAATTCATTCATAAATTCAGACGTCCCCGTGACTCCAGCACTACACTGAAAACATTTGTGAACAGGAATGAGCGTGGATAATTCAGGGCCCGTTACAGGCTCAGGAAAACTGAGAGCTCGTGGTATAGTCCAGTTTTCCTGCAAGGATCCCTGTTTTCTTATGTGCTTTAGGCCTCCCTCTTCTGTCAGCCCCATGGGCACCCACTTGCCCGGGAGAATCCCTGCGTGGGAGATGGCTACAGAAATTACCAGGGAGCCAAACATAGACGAGTGACAAGAGTCCCAGCTCCTCCGGGAGCAGGGCGTTGCTGCAGGACAGGAGAGGGATAGGGAAGGACAGAAAGGAAGGAGGTGGAAGAAGGAAAAGGAGAGGAGGGGGGGGAGGGAAAGACAGACAGACAATGAAGGAAAGAACAAAACCAAGAAATACAGGAAAGATGATTAAAAATAGGGTAAGAAAACAGAGACATGCTCACCTCGCAAAAAACATAGCAAAAAGAGGAAATATTGACTGGTCTTCGCATCTTTGAATATCATTCAGGGCCAAGACTTGCTCCCTGCCTAAAGAAACTCCTGGGTAGGCAGGCATCATCTTTTGCTCCTGGCATGGCCTCCCACCATCGATGGCCCTTCTCTGTCCCCCCTGTGGGGCTGCTGCTGTCCCCCTCTCTGCCCAGACCCCCTCCCCTGCTGGGCTCCCTCCAAAACACCCAGCACAGTTAGAGAAAGGGCTTCACCGCTCTGGGGTGCAGGAAGGGGTGGGTGTTGGGGTCCACTATTCTCCACGCCCACCTCCAGGCCCAGGTCCTTACCATGCCTTGTATCTCTTCGCTAAGCCCAGCTGCTGGCACAAACATCTTTTTTGAAGGGCGTTGAGCAGCTCCAGCGTCACCTACTGCCAATGATGCCTCCATCACTGCCAATGATGCCTCGGGCTCCTGGGCTGGCCCCTTTTGCTCTGTCCATGTCTCTCTCCAAATTTCTACCTTCATCCTCAGTTTCCCCCCTATGCTAGCACTTTCTGCAGCCCAGATGCCTTCTGCTTTTGGAAAGTCCTTCTGCTTTCAAAAACCATCTTCCAGTGTCTTTTCTTTGGTCTGTAGAGTAGGAAGCTCTCCATCAATTCCTAAAAGAAGAGGCAATATCATTGTTAAGAAATGTTTACGATTGGATGAAGAATCATGACAAGTTATAAATTTTGCAAGTGTTACGTTACGCAGTCCACAACTAGCACACAGTCCGCAGAGACTCACCTCCCATAGCCAAGAAGACCTACGTTTTCCAAGGAGGTACTTGACTGTCTCCATCTCGGACATCTGAAGTAGCAATTGAGTTGCAGAGCATACACTGATGCGTGTTCCTTAGCAAAACTCAGCTAGTACAAACCAGACCCTTCTCCAGTACCTCACCAGAGCACTGACTGGGTTATCAAAGCCTTTCTGTACAGATATGGCAGTGGGGCAGCCAAAGCATGCTATGTTATCTCTGATGAGTCTGTGAAGCATTGCTCCTTGAAGGGAAGGAAGGACTCCACCTCCAGCCCACTGGTAACAGAGCGTGTCTAAAGTGTCATTCCCTGGGGAGGGGTTGGTTCCACCCACGTTTGAAATCTATATCTAAACCATTATTTTATTTTTCTCCATGGCAGGAAAACGGGCAGAGGAAATATGGAGGCCCACCACCTGGCTGGGATGGCCCTCCGCCAGAGAGGGGGTGTGAGATCTTTATTGGGAAACTGCCCCGAGACCTCTTTGAAGATGAACTTATACCACTGTGTGAAAAAGTAAGGCTTTATGGTGGGTGGGCATATTGCAGAGGTTAGTAATGACCAAAGCTTCATTTCAAGGCTGAGCTGAGATGTTTGGCCCAGACTACTGGTGGAGCTCTGGTGTGATACAGTCAAGGAAGCACCAGGTCTTGTTTACCCACTTCCCGCCTTGCTGACAAACCTTTTTCTTTCTACTTGCAGATTGGCAAAATCTACGAAATGAGAATGATGATGGACTTCAATGGCAACAACAGAGGCTACGCCTTTGTGACCTTCTCAAATAAACAAGAGGCGAAGAATGCAATAAAGCAACTCAATAATTATGAAATTAGGTAAGCGTGGCATCAACTTTAAATCATATAAATTAATCCATTTTGCTATGTGAGGTATATCTTTCCTTGCAGACCAGAGGAAGGTTTATTTAGGTACCTAAGCTTTAGGGGGAAATCACCTCTTGTCTCCCTGTGCAGTCATTGCTCCATGCCCTGGTACGGAGGCAGTACGTAGGACTCATCAGAGCCAAAATCTTTTGCAGGAAATTTCTTCCTTACAAAAAAAAACCTCTACCAGAACATTGAAAAAAATATTTTGCTTTGGATCAAATTAACTTTCTCCCAACCATTGCTGTTTATTTCACGTTGCCCTCTGGGCTGTTTTTTGTTGATTTATTCCTATTCAAATACTGCAGATATGTTCTGGGAGACAGAGAAATTGCAAAAAATGGTGAAATAGGATGGAAACCAATTGGCAAAGCAGCAACATTTCCTAATAGAGAGGTACAGAAAAGCCCTCATGTTTGTGACTAAAAATTGGGAACAAAACACCCAGAAATCAACAACATATGGGCCCATCAATATGTTTTGTTTTGATTTCAATCACACTTAATGTTTTTTCCAGTTCAATGTGGGATGAGTAGATGCCTTTGCTTAGAATCATTTAGAGATAAACCACTCTGGCAAATGTATGGGTTTTGTTTTTAATAACAAAAGATGGGTTGTGAATTGCTTTGCTGGCAACCCAAAGGATGAGCAGGTCACAGGGCACACAGGGAGGGCTTGGAAACGTGATTTGTATCGGAGGTTGGAAGGTCTTAAAGATCAGGCTTCATCCACCTCCACTTTCTCTGCTTAATTCCCTTGTTCCAAACACTCGTCCAAAGAAATTTTTAACTTCTCAAGACCTGCAAGAGGTACTTGGACCATGAAGAGGTGAGCAAAGGGCATGGAAGAAAATTTTGACTTTGGGGTCTGCACAACGGTTGGCATCAGTAAGCCCCCAAATGGCGTCTCTCCATGAGAAAGGATTTTCTTTCCCCAAAACCTCAGTCATGAGGCCCAATGGTGACTGGGAAGCTTCAAGTCACTGGTGAACACAACAAATCCTGGCTTATACTGGAAGCAACGCAAGAGTCACAGCTCTGACCATGGGTGGTAGGTATGGTTGCCTGGTAGCAGCCATTTTTGCAAGTAGCAAAAGAGAGAATCCCAGGAAGCAAAACCAGAATTTGGCTTTTGTTTCTCCTTGATCTCAAATTGTTCATTTCAACTGTGATGCCTTACTTTGATGTGAAATTTAGCAGAGTGGCATCCTTCACGTTAGCTTTGGCATTGGGCAAGACCCACCTGAATATCCCAAGCAACAAATGCCATAGGAGCAGGAGGCCTTGTGTTTGACCTTGTGTTTTGGGACAAGAGGGGCAGGATTTTTTTTTTTTTCCTCTCTTTGAGAACTAATCCTGGCTCCTGACAAACCAGCAATGTTGTTTATACGCAGGAACGGGCGTCTCCTCGGAGTCTGTGCCAGCGTGGACAACTGCCGCCTGTTTGTGGGAGGGATCCCCAAAACGAAGAAGAGGGAGGAAATTCTAGCAGAGATGAAGAAAGTCACAGATGGAGTTGTGGACGTCATTGTCTACCCTAGTGCAGCTGATAAAACGAAAAACCGGGGGTTTGCTTTTGTGGAATATGAAAGCCATCGGGCAGCAGCCATGGCCAGGAGAAAATTGCTTCCAGGTTAGTAGAGATGGTGAGGGTGGTAGGGATGGTTCCATCTCAGGGGTCACCTACGTTGCACTGCGGTGAGACTGGGGTCTCCAGAGGACCCAGGTACCCAAGGAAGCGAACGCTGCTGTGTTTTCCCCTCTCGGCTGCTGGAGACACTCAGAGTGAGGAGGGACCTCGATACACCATGGCTGGCTGATGGACTCTCCCTGCTCTGGGGTGCTGGGTGGGCGATTCACTACAGATCCTGGTGTAGCACCATGCTCGTTATCCATGCGCTTCATTTAGGAGCTTGAATTTATTAAAAATACAGCTATTTAGCGGTGTGTATCCACACAGCTCTGATGTGGGATGTGTAGTATCCGCTGGTCATCTTGGGTTGTATATAAAATACAGCCTCAGTGATGGCCTCTCGGAGAGAGTCGCTCAGGAAAGCGTCTAAGGACATAGTCAGTCTTGAGAATGTACTGAGGGTGTTCCTGAGAATGGACATCTGTGTGGGAAGAAAACTTCAAATGAGGAATTGCATTAGGATTTAACCAACAGAAGGAATAAGTGAGTGCCATTTAGTGCTGGGGGCCATTCAAAGACCCTTGTAAAGCAGAGAGAGGTTTGGCAGGTGTGAGGTGAAGGAGACACTTAACATTAAGTGCATTTGCAGTGATTTCACCAATTTTCCTCATGCTTATGCTCCTGCAGTGCTTTGTCAAACCCAGCTCACTTGCTGGTGAAAGAACCCAATAAACCTTCCGAGACTTGTCCCTAACCCACGAGCCTTCTTCCGCGCTTTCTGTACGGCAGCCCACGAAACATCCCGAGTCGTTCAAATCCTTTTCTCTTATTGCAAAAGAAGGAGCTCGGTTTCAAGCGCCAAATATGCTTAGCTGCTGTGGGCTATCTCATGCGGACTATTTTCCCTTCTATTCTGCATTCTCTGCATCAGTTTAGCATCGCCCCGATTGTGGGAGCACATTCAGCTGCTCTGTGCTGCAGCACAACTTTTCCGTGGTTTCTATATCAAGAACGAAGGCAGGAGCAGGCACAGCCGCAGCTGCCCGCGGCAGCCCTGAGGGAGCAGGGTACCTGAAATCCTGAGCAAAGACAGCGAGGCAGATGGAACGAGCACATAGCCCCCAACAGACGTGTGCAACGCGCCAGGGCTTTCCAATTTAGGGACATCTCAGTAAACAGTATGGGGAATTTCAAAGGCCTGAGCAGGAGCCAGAGTCTTCTGATCTTGCAAACATACGGGAAGAACTTGAAAAAAGTTCCAAGCCAGAACTGAATGTGTCGCCAGCTGATGCATTGGATGAATGTGAGACTGAATATCATTATCAAGATGCTTCTTTCACTAACCTTGCTGCTCTTTGAGGGAGCTTTGTAGAAGAGACAGAAAAGCTCAAAAAGGAAGACGCTTTTTATGAAAACTTTATCCTGTCTCCCGGTGAAACAAGAAGGTGGAGGAAGACGGGGTTTTAGCAAGAGGCTGGGGCAGGCACCAAGCTTAGCTCCTTGCTGCAAGTCAACCAGGTCATTATGTCCACTATTGAACAGAAGAATGGCAATTCAGAAAGGGGCACAGGGCCTTTCATTTCAGCTGGCCACCCTTAGCAGTCATCACTCTGGTCACTAACAGCAGTGCTGAAAGCTGAACATCAGCCCAGCCTTGCTCCACGAATCCCAGCTCATTCATGAGCCTTTCTAGCAGGGAGTAGCCTCATTGTCTTTAATTTGTTAATTTTTGCTTCCAATGTAGAAAAAAAGGTCTCCAAATTCTACCCTTGCCCTCTAATTTTCTCTATTTTGGAGCTCCCATCCCATCTTAGATGGGTTATCCAAGCGGATAAACAATTTTCAGTATTCTCATTGTCCCTCTACCAGCATAGGCATCCATGGTTTTCTTCCAGGTCTTAGCATAATTAAGGCCTCAGAAGACCCCATCTTCATGTGATAAAGATCAGAAAGAAAGAAAGAAAAAACACAGAAAGACACAGAAAATGCTCTTTGGGGGGCATTTGCAGAAGAGGCAGACATCTGATTTCATTATTTGCAGGGCCTGTCTAGCACTTCCCATGCTGCTAAGACAGAAAATGGTCCCTGCTGTACATGCAAGGAATGAGCAGCTGGGCCTGGGCCGATTAAACTTGCTGCAGGAAAAGTGAGCCACAGGTAGAGCACATTAAATCTGGGGCTCTGGATATTAGGGGGTGGCCAGATTTCAACCACTCCTGAAGAGAAAAGGGAGGAAGAGGTCCCTGCAAGATGTGCAGACAAAGAGGAAGGAGCCATTGCCATCTGGAGAAGACAAGAGGTGAAGAAACTATCCCTACGTAGAGGTCCCTCTGCCTTACCTGGTGTCCTGCTGCTCATCACTGGCATTCCCACACCTTTAAGACAAGGCTGTGGCAGTCGATTTTCATTACATATTAAGCACCACTAATTGACTAATCAATTACTTAACAGATTAAGTGACTCAATGCAAATTATTATGGACCTCAGCGTGATAGCATGACGACAATATTGCCTTTAACGACCTCTTTATTTGCTCTTTTTATGCTCTGCCCGTCAGCGACTCGATCCAGTGTGTACAGAGCGCACGGGCTTCTCCTCCACACCCACACCCTGGGTTATGCCTCATTACTTTTTGTGTCCCTCCTTTCTACTACTTCTGCTGTGACTTCACCAGCAGGGACCATATGACGTCAAATACTTGCACACAGACACATCCTTGCTTTTACTATTTCATTTCATCCAGCCAGGACTTCTGGATCCCTTTCCTATTACCTAGGGAATGAAACTTTTGCAGCCAAGAGGGATTTTTATAACTTCATTAAAACATTTCCCTGTAGAGAGCACTCCAGGGAAGGCGGACGTTAGGGCATCATGTCATATTTTCACTTCTTTAATTCTGGAAACCGAAGGCATCTAAGGTTTTAGCAGGAGCACGCTCAAAGCGTGACCATCTGCTTTTGGAACTGAGCTACCAAAGCAGCCGTGCTTTGAGGTAGGAAGGTTTGTTTCGGTCCTGTTTGTAGAATGGGCCTATTCTCTGGTTCATACTGCACATGAAACAGTTGTGAGCAGAAGTGAGAGGAACCAAAGCCTGTCTGCCACTGACCATGCCAATTCCTTTAAAGGGAGGATCCAGCTGTGGGGACACCCTATCGCCGTTGACTGGGCAGAACCAGAAGTGGAGGTGGATGAAGACACCATGTCATCAGTAAAAATTCTCTATGTGAGGAACCTCATGCTCTCAACCACTGAAGAGACCATAGAGAAGGAGTTCAACAACATCAAACCAGGTAGGAACCCATTGACATGGTAGCTCTTAAATAAGTACTGCTACTGCAAATGGAAATATTTCCCCATTCATAAAATGCCAAAGGAAGAAATAAAAATAACTGGTTTTCCGCAGTAAGATGTTCACATGTAATGCCAGAAAAATCATCATTCGGCTGAAGGCTTCCACCCAACATGCACACCATGTCGTCCCAATAACGGCTGCTTAATTTCCAGCTAACAGCTCTACTAACCTTTTTAGGATGATTGGCAACTGGAGGAGATCCAAGATGCTGCACGGGGATGCCTGTGGCATAAAAATGATTTTGAATCATTTTGGTCTTCCTTAAGAAGTGAGCGCTGGTGAAACAGCTGGGTGATTTCAGCATTGTTCTTCTATGGCAAGGGATGGTGACAGAAACAGTGTGATTTAATGCAAATGCTTTTTATCCATCTAAGTTCTGAATTCTATCATTTACATACAACCCCCCTCCCCGCCCATTCTTCCGTAATTTTGTGAATAACCAGAGCTTATCGTTTACTGCAGAACATGACAGAATTCCTTCGTGGTATATGTTACCTGCGCTTAGGGCGAGGTTTTTCAAAAAGCAAGTAGATTTGCTGGGAATACAAATCCTGCTGGCTTGCAAAGGACATTTTACTCCTGAGTTGCTCCAGCTTTAGGAAATTCCACTAAACCCAGCGAAATAACAACAACCCATTTCTGCAGCTCTCCAAGCCACCCATTAGGCATTAGGAATGTAGGCTTGGCAATGTGAAATTGCCCTTCATCTCATTCCTATTAACTTCCTTCTATTAATTTTTTAAAATACACTACAGAGCTTCACCTTTCCTTCACTGGCTTTTCCTTCCTGCTCTATACATTCCTTGTCCTGCGCTAGGCTGCAATGCAAAGGTCGTTGCGAGGTTTCCTTGTGAGTCTCTTCTGTCCTCCTCCTGTTCCGGGCTATTAGAGATCCCGTTCTACCCCCGAGTTAAATATGGAGCATACCGCTCTCTTAATTGTTTCCTCCTTTTATTTACCCGGTTTTGCTGCTGAAGACTGAACTGCTCGCGCTCCCCAGAAACACACTTATGCCCCTTTGACGCTTTCTTAGCAGTCGTCTGCTTTGCTCCCGAACCAAGTTCACTAGGACAGCAACAGAAGATCTGTATCGTCTTTAATTTTCACTTCATCATTTTACTTCTCATGCTGGGAATTCTTTTTATTTTTTTTTTTTAAATGGACAGCTTTATTTATTGTGGATAAAATCAGGAAAGCCCTTTCTAAAGCTGTGCCGTGCTTTCCAAAAAATGTGCATGAGAGCAGCAAAACCTGAGCTGTGGGGAGAGAAAATGCAGTTTAAGTTATAGTGAGATTACATCAAAAAAGTCAGGAGGGATCTGAAACGGCTCACCTCCCCCTGCGTGGCTACCTGCCACATTCTTTGTGCCGCATTTCGGTACCGCTTGCCCAAAGCGCAGATGTGCTCCGGGGCGTTAAGCAGCTGGTTTGACAATAACAAGTCATCCGATAAAAACCGATCCTAACTAAAGGAGTTACGATCCAGAGGCCCCAGTGACAGAGTGATCGCCACATCACCACGGGCGCCGTAGACGCTACCAGGAATGCTGCTTATGCATCTCAAGTCGTGACATAGTGCAAGTACTGCCCCTCAAATCCGTGCCGGGTACCATGCCTCCACAGAGACCCCCATCACTTGTCTCACTGAAAAGCCCTACCCTCACTACCTAGAGATTTTGGCAAAAATCCCCACCCCTGGCAAAGTTTCCAGCAGGAAGGTCACGCTCTCCAAAGGTGCCGAAGGAGATGACATTCCCCCTCCAACGTCCTGTGGTTGGTCTCTCCATGGAGATGACCCCAGGGCGGGTAGAACATTGATCTGCCCCAGCAAAGACAGAAGCAGGGAAGGGCAGGGGGTTGGGTCGAGCGAGGATCAGTAACACAGAGCAGGAGGCGGAAGGGGGATTTTCAAAACACGGAGAGTTCATTAAAGCCTTGACTTGTAAACAAGGCATCAGCACATATCTCCCATAACTTCAGGCTTAGAAAATCCCCCTCCAGTCCCAGAAGGACACAAAGTAGTGCTTACCTTTCCAGTGTCCTTTTGAAGAGGTGCAGGCTGCTCAGATTATGGGCTGGGACAGGCTTCGTTTAGCCCAATGGAGCTCCCAGTGACGCCCCCTCAACTCCAAAGAAATCCATTTTCTCGCGCAGTTATTTAAGTCAGTGTTTTTTGCGGCAGTATGACATTCCCCTGCATACCTGTTCAGCTTCAAAGGGTAAGAGGCCAAGAGGAGAGTCGTTCAGCGTCCCTTAGCCGTATTTACGAAGGATATCTTCGGGGGCGTTACAGTCCCAGTGTTGATGATGTGCTTCCCAACCCACAGGGGTGGGGAAGATGACAACCAGAGGAGAAAAAGTCAATGTCTAAAGCTTGTGGCTGCAGTGAGTGGGACCGGTGTGGTTATTTTGGAGACAAACTTATTAGTGTTAAGTATCTCGGTGCCGAGAAGTTCCCAGCAGTAGAGCAGATGACAAGGAGAAGCTGTGGAGTATGGACATAGAAGAGAAGAACAAGAAGCCTTTTACATTTGAATTTTTGTGGGCAATCACAGAGGTGTAGAAAGATTCAGGCTGGAGGCACCAGGGTGGGGATCTCCAGCCCAACCCCACTCCCAGTAAGGCCAATGCTGCAGCAGGCTGATGGGGACCGTGTCCAGGTGAATTGGGACATCCCTGGGATGGGGACCACCCACCACCTGGGCCCCGTCCCAGGGATGCCCCACTCGCATGGGAAAGGCTGTTTTTTAGGGCCAGATGTGTTGCCCTGTTTGGTCCCAGCCCATCCCCCTGCTTGGGGCTGCTCTGTCCTGGGCAGGACTTGGTGTTTGTTCTGCTGAATGTCCCAAGTTGGCAGTTAAGAGAAGAGCCTCCTTGTTTCACAGCAGAAGCATCAGCTTTCCTGGAGCTTCCTCTGAGCAGCATGGACAATGCATGTATGAAACCATGGAGATGACCACCACACGGTGACATGACCTGTAGCTCATGACATCCTGGGCTGTTGCCTGTCCTGCTCAGCCATCTGGGTCTTGGTGGTCTGTAACAGAAGGGAGGCACAAGACCCAAGGTAGCATCCAACAGAGCATTCTGGACAGGAGAAAACCACTCCAGTCTAATAGGAAACCTACTGGTGTCTGACCTCAAGTATTTGTGGGTTTTCTTGAAATACTACGGCCTTTATAATGTTTATTTTCCCATCCTAAGAGGTAAGAAGACACCATCCTCTTGCTCTTTTAGCCTTGGTCAGCCTTTGCTCTCCAAAGGCTCATAACCCAACACAGTTGCTTTTTCAGATCTGTATTTTCCAACTAATACCCATTTCCCACTAACATTCCAACGTTTTCTGCAGGTGCAGTAGAAAGAGTCAAGAAAATTAGAGACTATGCCTTTGTGCACTTTAATAAAAGAGAAGATGCGGTCGAAGCTATGAAAGCCTTGAATGGGAAGGTAAAGCTGTAAATGCGAATTCGTGGGGCTTATCCACAGGTGGATCAAAGCTGCCTGGTTCATTAGCTACAGGACCATCCTGAAGGTGTCCGCCCTATTTTCTCTCCGGAGGCTGCTTTATACTCCCGAATCTGCTTTTCAGCAACCCTGATGTACACAAACTGTTCATTGTGGCTGCTTGCCCCTTGCATTCACGCTAAATGTGCGCCCAGCCCAGACTGTATTCACCCCTCAGAAAAAAAATAAAAAGCCGAGCAAAGCCCAAAGGAGGCCTAGCAAACAGGGGGGGTGGTTCCCTTGTTCCACCTCTGCCAACCAAACTGGTCGCAGGGCAGTGTGTGAATGGCAAACCGGGACAAACAAGGTCACCCCAAAACATCGGCTCCAGATTCGGAGGCGGGTTCGCAAGGAGTTTGCTGTATTTAGTACTTTTTGCGCTGCGTGTCATTCACGGCGCTGTAATGCAAGAGCTGTTCCCAAAGAGGTGTTAACCCCGCTCCTATTTTTAGTGCTTCTGTTATTCTCCACAGGAGCACGTACCATCTCACTGACTTACGTGCCACTTCACAGGGAAGCGAAGCCTTTTGAAGGCTTCACAACTGTGCTAATTCGGTTAAGGAGCCTCTCCTGGCAGGAGTCAGGGCTGGGTGCTCTCGGCACATTAAGCCTTCACCCAGCCAGTGCCTTCTTACACCCATGGAAGAAAAATTTTGGCTTTTTTGGGTGGTTTTCTCAATCTTCCCATCCCATTAGCAAACCATGTGGGGAAAGTGCCTCCCCGGGCAGGATAATCCCCATGCACTTTGGAGACTTATGCTTGTGCTTCTCCCATGCTCTCTCCCCACCACCCCGGCGAGAAGGTGCTGGATGGGTCCCCAATCGAGGTGACGTTAGCCAAACCCGTCGACAAAGACAGCTACGTCAGATACACCCGGGGCACAGGCGGCAGAGGTACTGTGCTGCAAGGAGAGTACACCTACGCCTTTGGACACATGTACGACCCCACCACCGCCTACCTGGGCGCCCCGGTTTTCTACGCACCCCAAGCCTATGCAGCTATCCCCAACCTCCACTTCCCTGCCGCCAAGGGGCTCAGCAACAGGAGCATCATCCGGCCCCCATCCATCCGAGGTAACTCCCACCACCAGTACTCAGCTTTATCAAAATAACTCCTGCGGGACGTGGGTGGCTGCTCCCTAGACTTGTGTCGAGGGCCCTGGCTTTGCCCTGGATGCTGGACCCCTTTCAGAGAGGGACAAAACCCACAGTTTTTAGGCTCTGTCCTTCCCAAAGGCATAGAAATCTTCCAGCAGACTAAGCAGGGCATGAAAAAAAAAAAAAAATTTCCCCAGAGCAAGCCTGAAATGGCTTCCAGATTGCCCTATGTCCAGCGTAAAGAAACCACGAGTCCTCCTGGTTTTGTCCCAGCAGGAAAGACCAAATAAACCAATTTTCCTTTCCCCTCTTCAGAGCCAACTCCCTTAACCAGCCACCAGCACAGCTCTCCACCGTGAGACCTTTACTTCGAAGGTCACAGGGAAAGTTTTACCAGTCTTGGCGTTTTCTCACCCAAAGCCACGGCGTTTCTCAGGGAGGTCACATTGCCCTGACGCGGGGTGGGGAACCAGCCCTGAAATCAAGCAAGCCATTAATTGTGTGCTCTGGGGGATCATTTTGGGGGGATCATTAACCTGATAAGAAGCTGGCTATGAGAACAGGGAGAATTTCTGAAGGCTACTAAGGCTCTGCCTTTGACCCTGGGTGACCACACCTGGGACAAAATCAAATCCCCACGCTCAGGTACCCCCCTATTAAATATCTTTGCAGGCATCGTTTGGTAAGTGCAGAAATAAGCTTGGGGGCTAGCAAAAAAAAACCCCAAAACCTGCCCATTTGATCTTCCTTCCAAAGATGACACCAGTGGCGGTCAGCTGGCATCCCCAAGCCCGTGGCCAGGCCCCACGGCAGGCTGGGACCCCGTGTGACACCCCAGGAGGGCTCCCGAGGACCACACCAGCCAATTTTCCCTGCTGCCCCCCATGTTTTTGCCCGCACAGGTGACACCAGCTTCTGTGGAGGTTGCACTGGGAAAGGTGCGGATGAGATAACCCACCAGCCCTCTCTCACCTTGCAGTCTCCCCAGACTCCCAAGTAGGGCTCCCCAACCAAAATGAAGTGTCATGGGGGGGAAAAAAAGGAATTTGGCTCATAGAAGCAAGGGATTGTATAAACTCTGAATTCTTCAAGACAGTGAAATTGTGGTGGGCAGCGAATGACACCAGCTGTCCCCTCGCCTCCTTTCAACTAGAAATTCAGCCAGAAAGATGTCACAAAGTCAAAACTGCCCAGAGAATCTGGAAACCAGGTCAGAAAGAAGGAGGGCTTCCCCTGAAGCGCCTCCCCCCCCTCCAAGTGTACGAGCCCAAAACGAAAGGGTGGCAGTGACAAGCCCGGGTTATCCCCGCAACGGGGGGCTCCTGCCCGCCTGCTTCCCAAACTTGGCAAATGGGGCTAACTTTTCCATTTCAGCGAGAATCAGGGTAATTTTTCCGGTGATTTGATTCGGTTTAATGCCTTCTTACATTCCTAGAAATTTACATGAATGTACCTGTAGGGGCTGCGGGAGTTAGAGGACTGGGAGGTCGCGGCTACCTGGCGTACACGGGCCTGGGGCGCGGATACCAGCTCAAAGGAGAAAAGAGGGGAGAGGATAAACTCTACGACCTCTTGCCAGGAATGGAGCTCACCCCAATGAACCACGTCACGCTAAAGCCCCAAGGGATCAAACTTGCTCCTCAGGTACGTGCACCAAAAAGAGGGTCAATATCCTGGCAAGGGGCTTTCTTTGCCCAAAATGCTTTTAGGAGAACACCCCCCTGCTCAAATCTGCACTGGGGACTGATAATTAAACCCATTCTTGCATCTCAGAAGACATTAAAAAAAAAAACCCCAAACTCCAAACCACTCGTTGCATCTTGCAATAGCTACCCGCCTCACTGGAGGCCGGCGCCCGCGCTCCTCGGAGGACAGTCTCCGTAAGCACCCATGGGTGGGAAGTGAAATCCAGCTATGGCTGCCGCTCCATAAAAGCACTGAGGGTAAAGAAATTCTCACCCCCGATGGGTTTGATAAACAGGATGCATCGCTTGGGGCTTCACCGAGGAACAAATGCGTTTATCTAGAACAACACTGTATGTTGGGAAATCTTTAATGGAGAAGGAGGTGCTGACTGCCTGCACAGCCCCGTCCAGCGCAGAAACTCTGGTTGCTCCAGAAGGCTTCAGATGTGGTTGTGCATGCGGGACTGGGATCCAGATGGACAAGGGCGGAGGAGAACAAACTCAGAACAAATTCCCTGAGTTTCTGAGGGTCCGGCCCCTATGGCTGCTCCTTTTCCCTTACAGCATCCAAAGCAACACGAGAAACTAACTCCCCCCTGAATTTTGAAGCACATCTTTGCCTATTAACACTTCAATTGCCACAGTTTGGGGATTGGGAACGTCTATGAAAACATCCTTTTCTCCCCCAGAAAACTGGAAAATGGGGTTTTCCCCCCTCCCTGAGAAGTTTCACAGTGCTCTTACTCTATTTTATCAGCACATAAGAGTGGCGAAATAGCCCGAGTGGTGCTGCACTGCCTTAGGGTGGAGGAAATTCATTTTTCCCTCTTCCCATGCATGCCAAAGCCCCATGCACGTATTTCAAACGGCGCAGTAACAGCGCCGGGCACTTGTAATGCTTGTTTTTCAGGGGATGTTTTCCCAGCAGCTGAGCTTCCCTAATCCCGCCACTGCTGCTATTTCACAAGAGCAGGTCTTAAACAGTCACAGCTCGCTTCACGACAGCCTCACTAATGGGACAGCCTCACCAATACGGGTCGGCTTGGTCAGCCTCTCCCATCCGCTGCCGTTTCAACAGCGCCTTCGAATGATGGATTTCGATCCCGCTGCCTAGCTGGGATGCCCAGTGTTAATAAACAGATCTGCCTTATTGAGGATTTAAATGTTGGTATAACATTATGAAACCAACATCCACATCCAGGCGTTGGGACAGCAGGGAACCACTGTTCCCATAGTCAAGAAATGTAATCAACAAGTTTATTCACACTACAAAGTGCTGAACTTCAGCTGGAGCTACAATTACAAAATTGGAAGCAGCACTGACATTTAAATTTCACATTTAATTTTAAATTAAGTGTAAATTTTAAATAAGGTAGGCCACAGAAAGACACAGGCACCCAGGGGTCTCAGTCTGACCCCACTGGCTGCATGGCCAACGGCACGAAGCCCTGGGACCCAGCACCTTCCCAGCGCAGTGCCAGGGCTGGTGGAGCCCCTGGAAACACGTGGCTGGGATGAGCACGGCTCACAGGGAGGCGCGGGAATGCCGCCCCGTGCTCAGACCCGTCCGGGACCACACATACCCAGTGGGTTCGGAAAACAGAAATACAAAGCCACAGCAAGAGCACTTCCGGGCAGCGATTCCCAATTACCAGGGAATAAGCTGTGCTAAGGCTGGGAGCAACGTGGCTCAGCATTTCGCTTTCAGATGAGAAGCAGAAATCACCTATTGCAGCCTGTATAATTAACTGGAGGGAAACACAGCCTTTTTCTTTCTTTTTTTTTTTTTTCTTGTCTTTAAAAAGCAGACTATTTGGACTTTTCATCCACTGTAACCCACCAATGCAGGGAGGCGACAGCGCCGTAAAGATGAATTCAACCCTAGTGTTTAGCACTGTTAAATAGAAGTGCCTAGATAGAGTTTCTGGGGAGAATCCAAAGAAAACTGCATGGGTAACAGAACAAACCAGCTCACCAGCAAAGGACAAAGACGTCCCATTTAATGGGGCAATAATTAACTTCAGGAATTAAACGCATTTTTAAAGCATAAAACATCCAGCTGAATCTTACACTTCAGGGTCAATGTAGTAGCCTGTCTGCCATTTATTTCAGGGTTTTTTTCCTAAACCTTGAGGAAGCTGCTGCAGGACCCCTGGGAAAGCCTTGGGAGGGAAGGAAGCTGAGCAGTGCCGGGGCTGGAGCTGGGCGGGGAGGCTGCTGCGCAGCAGTGAGCCCAGGCAAACCCAGCCCTTTCTCCCTTCTAGGTCTTAGAAGAAATCTGCCAGAAGAACAACTGGGGACAGCCTGTTTACCAGCTCCACTCTGCCATCGGCCAAGACCAGAGACAGCTCTTCCTCTACAAAATCACCATCCCCGCCCTCGCCAGCCAGAACCCCGCCATGTACGTAACTATTTGAGGTTCTTCTGGGGTTTAGGATTTATTTTTTTTTAAATGGCATTTTATCTAGCACCTCTCCTCAAAATACCATTGCACAGGTGTCGATTTCCTTTTTTATATATATAGATACACATATATAATGTTTTTCTCCCTTTTTTATATATTATTATATATAAATATATTATATTTATTTGTAAATTTAAATAAAATTATATATATTTATATAATATATAAAAAAGGGAGAAAAACATTCACAAACTGAAATAGGCTGATAATGATGTCTGCCATGCTTGGTGCTCGCTCTCTGGTGGTGCAAAGACTACCAAAAGCCAGAAATAATCAGGCAAAAGGGTGCTTTTTAGTACAAAAAGGAAGCACACAACAGCTCTTGTAGGAAAAATAAAGCAGCCTGAAGGAGCCTGCTGATAATACGGCCCCAAAGATGACTCTAAACATTGACCTCAAACATTACTTGCTCTGTATTTTAAAGAAAAGCCCAGACTGCAGCAGGCTTGCTTTCGGACTGAAAGTGCACAACGTGCCCTGGAAGGGTGCTGGGGCTGCAGTGAGACCCGGGGCTGATAAACCCAGCAAAGAGATGGCACTGCCACAGGCAGGGTGCTTTGGTTAGTGCCCCAGCACCCCATGCTAGTGTCTCCATTTGATACGTGGGGTGATGCCATCCATGAGTGGATCGAAACGCCTTGCAGGGAAGTCCTAGAGAACAAAAGCAAACCCAGGCTAACGTTTTGCTGTGCTCACAGACATCCCTTCACACCACCCAAGCTCAGCGCCTACGTTGATGAAGCCAAAACCTACGCAGCAGAATACACCCTTCAGACACTGGGGATCCCCACGGAGGGAGCAGAGGTGCCTCCTGCAGCACCAGCTTTTCCAGGTATGGGAAGGTCTGTACAGCAAAGGGCTCCTGGAATATTATTTTTCCTGCTGCTTCCTTGTGGATGTCAAGAATGAACCTGGTTTTGGCCATTGAGGACAGACCTGGCATTGCTCCCCCCTATGCCTTTATCTTGACTCATGCCACTTATGTGTATGAGACCTTTATTGCCCATATAGTAACTTACCTCTGCATCAGGACTGCCCAAATTACAGTGCACAGACCATAGAGCAACTCAGGCTGGAGGCACCGGCTTAGGGGTCCCTGGTCCGACCCCGCTCCTGGTCCATGCCACAGATACAGCAGGTTGCCTGGGGCTGCATCAAGGCGGGCTGGGGCAGTGTCCAAGGATGGGGATCCCCCACTGCTCAGGGCTCCATCCCAGGTGTGCACCTCCCCTCCCCTCCTTCCAGTTTGTGGATGCCTTCCTTTAATTGGGAGCCCCCGATAGGACACAGGATCCAGAATCGGCGTCCCCAGTGCCACAGCTGGGATGAACCCCCTACCCGGACCTGCTGGCTGCGGTCTGGCCGATACCACCCAGGATGGAGTAGATCTTCCTCACTGCAGAGATGCACAGTTGATGGATTCATGGTCCGTTCGTCCTCCCCACACCCCCAGCTCCTTTTGAACCAATGCTTTTGATTTCATCTGCCAAAGAAATGACGTAACTGTGCAAGTTAGGACCTGATCCCCACTCTCACACCCCCACTGGAAGCGTTTTTTTCCAGTTTGGGAATTCATACTCAACAGCTGTTGCAACCGCCCAGAATAACTTGGGAAGTCATGGAAAACGCAGGCTGGGAGCAGGAGCCCAGCTCTCCAGCGTGACAGTTGCGCTGCTGTAGCGGGAGCAGCGCGTGCCAAGCTGCACATGCGGAGTGCATTAGCCAGTACTACCCAGTTGTTTGGAGTGTCTCAAGGATGGATTTAAAAAAAAAAAAAAAATCTATCCGGCTTCCTGCCACAGGAGTCCGCAAAAGCCACAGAAAAATCAATTTGTCTGGGTTTGTGCAGGCTTCCGCAGCGTGGAAACCAAATGGGCTCTTTATTGAATCCAGTCTCCACTTACTGCTTAATTATAATCTCTCCTTTTTTTTTCACCCACCCTTACTTATTTGTCTTGGAAAGTCAGCAAACTGACATACATTAAAGTTTCTGCTTGCCGCACACCCTGGTCCTTGGCCAGGGCTGAAATGCAAAGCAGGTACTCGGAGCGGCCACAACACTCAAGCGATAGCGGGTTTCTCACCTTTTTCCCTAAGCTAACACCTTCCACGAGGCAACTTGCTCTCAGCGGTGCCCAGCCTCTCCATGCCCCCCACCGAGCAGACCCTGGCTCTGACCGACCTTGGGTTGGTCCCGGTGCCCGGCTGGTCAGGCGGAGATTTTGGACCCTGGGAGATGCAGTTTGGCAGCAGAGCCTGGTCCAGCAGAGCCAATGGGTACACCCCGGCTGTTCTTCCCAAATTGGGCTCCGTCTTAATTCTTGATTCTTTCACAACAAAATATCGTGGTCTGGTCAACAAGCCGCTATGCCCTGCTTTCAGGCGAACCAGCCCCAAACGATCTTTGTTTTCCCAGTGATTCATTTCAAATCAGCAAAGCTAACATTTTCCCATGGAAAATCTTGAAACGTTGAAACCACATTTTCCATCAGAACCTGATGGGAAAAAAAAAGTCCAGTTTACCAAGTATTTTGTCCCCGCTATTGCGCAGAGGGGGTTTCCCTCCCCTCCAAGGCGGCTGCCCTGGGTCGCCCGTGCTTTGGCTGTGCAGTGTCAGAGCAGTATTTTCTCGATGAAGCCCGCCCAGGTTTCCCCGCTGTTACTTCACTTTCTTGCCTTCCTGGTGGCACCATTAGCGCCCTCTCAGCTCAGGAACAGTCAGAGCCTAAGGAGGAAACATTCAGCAGAGAGGGGCATTTTTCAGGCACCGTGTTTAACAAAGAACAGGTGAGAAAATGCGTTCATTTTGCAGCTTTTTCTTCATTACCTTTAACGTGGAGAAAAACGTTGCCAGAAATGACCTATTTAATTGAATTAGATTATTCCCCGATAACAAACTCATTGCTCCCTACATCATTCCTATCAGCAGCAAAGCCTTCCCATCAAAAACGGTCAGGCGATGGTGACTTTTGAAGGTCCTTTCAGTAATCCACATTTTTCCCTCCTTTCCCCTGCAGGATACACCATCGCTAACGCTGCTGCGACCGTCACGGCCACGCAGCTCAAGCAAGCGGTGACGATGGGACAAGATTTAGCGACGTACGCAGCCTACGAAGCCTACCCCGCCTTTGCAGTTGCTGCCCGCAGCGACGGCTACGGCGCGTTCTAACCCCGTCTCTAATCGAGTTCCCTTCAATCTAGCACAGGCAGGGGGAAAAGAAAAATATCTCAGCCCGGTAATTATTACACCCTCATGATTTTAAACTAATCTGTTGCCTAACATTAGATTTTAGTCAGAGTTTCATTCTTGTAGTTCTTTAGTTTCATTACAGGATATGGGGGGGCGGGGGAAAGGAGAATTTAAAAAAAAAAAAAATTGCTCAAAATCAGATTTTCACACTAGAAAGCAAAATCTCAGCCCAGAAAATGTGTGGTTCTCAGGTGTCTGTAGTACACATGCATATATATACATATCTATATACATATACATATATATACACACCCACCCACCCCCCGTTGTGTGTGTTTACAAGCAACAGCCTGTGCTGAAAGCAGTTGGTCCCGTGGGCGCTGTGACATGGGACGGGGAGGGATGGGGTCAGGAATTCCCCCCCACTCACCCCCAGATCTCTCAAGCCAGGCAGGGCGGCGGGTGGAATGAGGGGCTGCCCTTGGCCACCCAGAGGTCTCTGGTTCGCTTTTCACTGACCGCGGGCACCCTGTGCCACCAGCGCTACGGGGATGTGTTCGCGCATCTCAAGCACCGTTCAAACTCATCCTGGCACAGCCAAGGGGAGAAGACATCAATCATAAACACGTCTGCCCAGCCCAGCAGGCCAGTACGCATGCTCTTGAATTCTCATTGGATTTTTAAATCAGGAGGCAAGCATTCAGCAGAGTTTTCCCTCTCACCCATACCTACACATCAGAAAACAGCAAACAGCATATTTTTCCACCTCCCAGCAAATGGCACATTCAGTGGAAGACAGGAAAACTTTTAGGACTACTAAGGTTGAGGACCAGAAAAGTGCTATTCGTTAGGGCCAATTCTCTACTTAATCAGAGCACAAGAGCACCCAGCCATGGCCCAGTAATAACAGGCACCTCTGTAGGAATAAAATTATATACAAGGAACATTTTTGACAGGATGGAAAGGGCCCTGCCTGGCTATCAAGGCTGCTCTACACATTAAAGCAAGGCCGCTGGCTGCTGCGACCCTTGCAAAAATTAATTTAGCGGAAGAGGGTTCACGTCAATGGTAAAGGCGCCTCTTGTTTTGGAGAGCAGCAGTGTTGGTGTTGTGTTTGAACGCTTTGGGGATGCTGAGAGCATCCGTTGGTTTACAGCAGGAGGGCATTATCCATCTGCTTCTGCCATCGGATTGACGCAGGAGTAATGATGCTCTAGAGATACGGGAGAAACCCAGTGTTCGATACCTCTAGCAGACGCGTCAGTCCTATATTTCTCATCCTGTACAGTCATGCACACCAAGAAAACTGGAATCTGCTTAGTCTAGAAACAAAAAAACCCAAAAACCCCCTTGGGGGAGAACTTACAACTGGGTTGACAATGTCCATGGATTCTAGCAGATCTGGCCCCAAATTTTTCATCCGGTCTAGATGACGTAATGTGGCACCGTAAAAGCCATTTCAAGCGGAGCTTTCCCCATGCATCCCCAAAGCTGTACAAAGCATGATGGTCTGTGACAAGGTGTTAACTACCAGGAGTTAAGTGTTTTCTAACCTCTTGCTTGGGCCGACTCAGTTTCACTAGGAACGGAACAAACCCACATAAGCTGTATAGTTTGCGGTCCTGCTAGACCCTTTCTATTTATAAAGTAGCTCATCAGGGCGATCCTAAAGGTATTACAGCCCTCTGTGGTTGCTCTCGGCATGCTTGGCTTCGCAGAGAATGACAAACCTGCTCACAGAGGGCGAAACAACCGAGAGCGTTATGGGTATCGTGCCTTTATTTTCTCTTCTGTCTATGTCTCTTAAGTCGTGTTTGACTGCCAACGAGGAACGTAGCCACGCGTGTCTCTCTCGCGCGCTAAAAGACTCCCGTTGGCAGCAAGTGTTTCTCACTTTCCGCGTTTGGTAACTTTAGTCTGCTTTTTCAGCTATTTATATAAGTTCAGAAAGATGTCAAGGAAAAGGGCAAGAAGCAGTATTAAAAAGCGCGTGCGTGAAGCACTTATTTTTGTACGCCTAGTACAATATTTGTATAGAGTTTTAACACTATGAAGTGTAGCGAAAAATCACACTATCCATTTACTGGAGGACAATCATGTATGTTTAAAGAGAATGAAGTGAAAATGGCATCTCAGTCAGCTCCTACATGGAAATTATAACCGGGATTAAATTCTGTGAAGCGAGTCTGTAATTCTAGAGTAATCCAAGGACATTAACTGGACTTTGAAATATCATTAAAGCTTTTTAAACCGACATACACGCCTCAGTCCTTTCATACCCCAGGTGTCACCTGACAGGGTCATCCCGTGCGCGGTAAATAAGAGCTCACTGTGCTCTGTAGGGATTGGTGTGAGGGCAGGCAGGCGAGGTCACAAGCTGCTCGGCAATGCGCTTTGGTGACATGGGCATGCACACACAGCAGAAAATCAGCACTGTTCTACTGCACTGTTAAGTAAAAAATCAAGGGGTAAGGGTCTTTTCCACCACCTATTTGGCCAATATCTTTTTATCTGTCAACGCTGCAGGAATCACTTTTTCTATAAACTTATTACAGTGCTAATAGCTCTATTCCTTACCTGATCCGATTGGAGACGTCCCGGGGGCGACATCGATAGCAAGACAGCAACGTGCAAAAATAAGGGGGTAGATGGGGCAATCCATGATTTAGGGCTGTGAGGGATTGGTCCCACCTTGGGAAGAGGTAAATCAGCTACAGTCCTTGTTGTTTTAGGAAGATGAGGACCTCCTACTCGGAAGACCATCGTAATTAAATGACTGAGCAATAGCAATTCCTGCTTCCATGCCCAGTACAAGGGGTGCTGGTTTTGCACCTTTCCAGAGAGATCCTGAGCCCAAGACATGAGGGGGGGGGAGGCCTGGCGCCTTGCTGCTGCTAGCACACAGCACTCAACCAAAGGCCTCCCTACCAAGCCAAAAGAGATTTGGCCAAAATAGCTTGACATTGTTCTTACAGACTTACAAAGAGGTCAGCTGTACTCTGGGCTCTAGCAAGAACAGCAGCTCTGCCAGCTCTATTATTTTACCTCATTAGCTTTTCCTGATGTCCTGCTTTCGTTTTCTTTGAAATTAGGGCAATGGCAGAATTTGCTTTTGTGCTTCAATGTTTTCCCTCTCAGAGAACTGGGCTTCTCTCCTTCGCTCAGCAGCAGCTGGCCGATCAATGCTGGAGAGCAAGAATGATTTTTCAAGAAATCTCAAACCCACAACCCAACTTAAAAAACATTATTTCCCATTTTAAAAGATGTGAGTTCCCAGTGGATAGCAAGACAAAGCCAAAAACCATATCCATCCCCCACCAACAAGTCTAAGACATGTTTGAGCTGTAAGTGAGAAGAAGATCAACGGCCCAGAAAAATCAGCAGATGGCCACGGGTTTGGATCCTTGCAGAGCAGGAGGTAAAACCCCTGCACTTTCCTTCTCCCTTCTCCCCAGCCCTATCCTGGAGGTCCCTGTAGCACAGGGCCTCACATCTGAGGTGCAAAGCAAGAATAAAACATGTGTGAGGGTTACACAACAATTTTGGAGCTGGATAGACCCTGACACATCCCACCCGGAAACTATCATCCCCCATGTCCACTGAAACCGCCTCTAGAAGTCCATGGGACACGGTCTCCAGTGACTTTCAAGGGGAGTTAATTTTGTCTTTCAGCTTGCATGACTCCCTTTTCCTGCTAGCCCAGCTAAGTCTCCCATAGACCCATCACATATCTACCAGGATTTCCCTTTTTTGGGAAAAAAATAAACCCTTTGAAGGGTGACATTCCAGCCAGGGACCACAAATCACTGCTGTTCACTGTCTGCCTGGCCCTGGTGCTGCTCATGGTATTCTCACGGGATGCTCCTTTCTTTCAAGGGCTGGAAATTATTGTGTCCCCCCCCAAACCTTGATCTTGGCTAAAATTGCAATTCTCAGCTCCCCTTTGTTAAATGCCAGCGGGGGGCTTAGCCCCTACCCACTAACCCCTCTCCACTGGTGCTTGGGGTGGGCTGCTCTCTCCCTGGAGATGCCCCACCACCTTGAACTCCTCTCCATGCCCAGAGACTTGTCCTGGCCCGGCTCCAGTTACCTGCAGGAGATGGGGACTGTGCACGTCCAGATTTGGGGCTGGTTAAGGGAAACACTGGAAGAGTGACATTCCTTGGTCCCCAGACCCACCTTGTGCACAGGCAGCCCCAGCTGTGAAGGTGCTGAAAAGCAGATAGCCGCTGGGGGGCCTGTAGATAGGCTGCACACGAACACCCTCCGTGGGACGCATGCGAAGAGCACCAGCCAGCCCCAGGGTCAGGCAGATCCTAAAAGCCTGCAGCAAAGCCTGGAGACAGCAGAGGGATTCTCCCCTTCCCTCCCACCCCACCGCCCCGCCAGTGCCTCGGGTCAGATCCTAATTTAGCATCTCTTCTGCAGCTCCAAATGCTGCCGGTAAATTTGGGAGGGATAAGATGTTGTGCAGGAGGAAAGTGGCGGCACGGTCAGGTTTTGCAGAGGAGCTCTGCAGGGCGGCTCAGCCTGCAGACACCAACAAGTTTCTCGAGTTCATACCCGTTTATGTGCTGCGATGACAAAAAAAAGGAAGAAGGCAGAATTTTGCTCGCCTCCTGTGCACGTACGCAGGCACAAATGGCTACACATGGAGGGAGAGCAGTCTGGGAGAGGGACGAGCAATACATGGAGGGAGAGCAGCCTGGGAGAGGGAAGGAAGAGCAATACAGGGAAGGGGAGCAGCCTGGGAGAGGGACGAGCAACTGCGATGAGTAACGCTATATTTAACGACTGGCGAGTCGCCCAAATTCCTGAAAAAACCCTTTCTGGGCTTTGGCTCTGCTCAGCGGTGAGCTTGTTCTGGTGTAAAACGGCACTGGCACCTAGCGGCTGCTGGATTCAACCACAGCCCCCCAAAACGGTGCGGCCAGAGCAGAGCTGCTGGGTGCTGAACGCCAAGAGATGCTGACCCCAAA